AACCAATTCCTAAAAAGGAAAAAAAATGCAAAGTTCAAATAAAAATTACTACTTGATGAGATTACTTTTTTGTTCTGCAGCTTAGTATTATAAAATGCTGTAAAACATCTCATTGCTGCTCTTAAAATTTTAAAAGACAAGACTGTGTCCAGGTTCTCCAAGTAACTCAGATGTAATAGCCAGTTACGTTCAGCATCCAACTTTTCCAATAAACTCTTGTTCTTTGCAGTTGGGCTGTAACCAAAAAATTGTTTGCCCTTTGCAACTGTTTTTCTTAAAATGAGTACCGAGTGCGGATTCATCATTTCCACTTCAGAAATTTAAAGTCAGATTTTAAAATCTGAACTAGTCACCACAGTTTCTTCATAGCTGATAAAGAGACAGGTAGGCCCTAACTGATGATTCAGCTCATCTTAAGACAGCAGGGCAGCAGTGGTCTCAAAAGATGCTTACCTCTCTGTACAGACTATACAGACAAACTTTCTAAGACTGTATCATAGAATCATAGAATGTTTTGGGTTGGAAGGGACCCCTAGAGGTCATCTAGTCCAATCCCCCTGCAGTCAGCAGGGACACCGCTAACTAGATGAGGTTGCTCAGAGCCCCATCCAACCTGACCTTGGATGTTTCCAGGGATGGGGCCTCCACTACCTCTCTGGGCAACCCGTTCCAGTTTCACTACCCTAATTGTAAAGAATTTCTTCCTTATACCCAGTCTAAACCTACACTGGTTTAGTTTAAAGCCATCACCCCTTGTCCTGTCACAGCTGGCCCTACTAAAAAGGTTGTCCCCATCTTGCCTATAGGCCCCTTTTAAGTACTGGAAGGCCGCAATCAGGTCTCCCCGCAGCCTTCTCTTCTCCAGGCTGAACAAACCCAACTCTCTCAGCCTGTCCTCACAGGAGAGGTGCTCAGATCCCCAGGGTACGGTTGGCCTTCTGGGCTGCCAGCGCACATTGCCGGCTCATGTCCAGCTTTTCATCCACCAGCACCCCCAAGTCCCTCTCAGCAGGGCTGCGCTCGATCCTTTCTTCCCCCAGCCTGTATTGATACTGGGGGTTACCCTGACCCAGGTGCAGGACCTTGCACTTGGCCTTGTTGAACCTCATGAGGTTCACACAGGCCCACCTCTCCAGCTTGTCCAGGTATGCCTGAAGCTAGATGATCCCAGAGAACCTGAAAATCTTATTGCTTTTGTTAACATTGGGATTAGTGAAGTCACAAAAATTTTACAAAGCCCAGTTAATTTTTCTGATACATTCAGACGTACAACAAGAACAACAAAACCCCCCAGTCAGATTCCATTTTGCACACAGGAAGAAAACTTTCTACTCAAGTGACTTAAAAAAATTTCTGGGGTTGTTTTTCCGCTTTGCTTGCTTTTTACATGTGATGAAACATCTAAGCACTACAGTGGCTTTTTAAATCTGCATGTCAGTCCCCAAGTTTAAAAGGACAATTGTTAACATAATTTGTTCTTACAATAAGAAATACAAAAAGACAAAGTGTTTGGTTTTAGTCAATTCCTCTATTTATTTTTCAGGCACTTCTGCAATTGATTAAGGTACCCGCAAGCTTTTTAGTTGTATTACTCCATTCTCAAGCTCTTTATTATTTAAACTGTACCTGGAACCAATGGAGCCAGATTGAGAAACACATTAGGGAAGTACAAGGATACAAACCAACCTGGGAGAGTTTTTCATTTGCAGCCTTCATCTCCATATATTTAGCTTGATTTTCCTGTGACATGTCTTTTACTATGTCATCTGCTACAACCTTTTCACGTTCGATATCTTCTTCTACCCCTTGAATAAACTTTTCTGTGCTGTAAAAATGGAAAGGTTTTGTAACTTTTACTAGTTAATGTTTATTTTATGAATTAACTTTTCTGTGCTGTAAAAAATAGAATGTTTTTGTAACTTCTACTAGTTGATGTTTATTTTAAGCACCCATTTCAAACTCTGGTATTCCTTCAGCCTCACTGAAATGATCCTTTACCACAAAAGCTCCACAGACTTTAAAAAAAGGATTTACCTACTTGTATCGGACCTTCTTGGAGTTGGATTAGCTATATAAACATTCACGCCACAGAATGCAGAAGATGAAGAATCCTTTGCCTTTACAGTACCCACGTAGTACTTTCCAACACTCCCACCCTGTCTACCTGCATAGTCACCAACACTGGCAAAAGTATACTACTCCCTCTCAGTTGCTCTCAGAAGGTGAATTCCTGGAATAAAAACAGGCAGCTTGAAATAAAGGAGCTGGTATGTGATTTGTAACTGCACATAAAGAAAACATATTATATAGATAACAGGACATGACGGTACTGGGTAATGATGATAAGATGACTTTCTTTTAGCAACGAAATTGTTGGATTCCTTAAGAACGGAGAGTGGCTTCAGAGTCTTAGGCAATGTAGAGCTTCTTAACCATGCAAGAACTAAGAAATTAGCCATTCCTGACATTCTTGATTCATGACTTTAATCTCATTAGGAAATCAATGGGCTGCAACCATAAAAATGTCTCTACTGCTGCAACTACAGTGAGCTACAAGCAAATGTTCTAGCAGATTCAAGGAAGGCATAAAGAGTTTTTCCTCACCGTTTCATGTAATGTCTAGTAATTTCTATGAAATTCCTCAAAGCTAGAGAGTCAACTCGAGAACAAAGCTAAAGGAAATTAACAAAACCCTCTGAGACTCTGAAGAGTATACTTTCCTTCCCTTCACAGTTAATGAAAGATTGTTTAAACTGTCTGCTTGTTTCCAGAGTGACTTCTGCTATTAAGAATGACAAAATCAGCTGGATACCTTCCTTCAGGATTTATTTTTCTTCTATTTTTCATTAACTCTCCTGAGTTGCAAGATGCCAAAAATTTTAATGATTGCAGCAAAGAATGCCCTCAAGCTTAAAAGATGGTGTAAAGCAGTGGAACTGCACAAAGACAATCTCAGAGTAAAAGAATAATGAAAATTTCATAGAAGCAGAGTAGAGTTGATGTTGGAATGGACTTCTGAAGGTCACCTAGTGCAACCTCTCTACTCAAAGCATGGTCACCTAGAGCAGGTTGTCAGTGTGTTGTTCAGACAGTTTTTAAGTATCTTGAAGGATGGAGACCCCACAACCTGTCTGGGCAATGTTTCATTGTTTGGCCACTCTTAGAGCAAAAAGAGTTTTTTCTTACATTTAAACGGAATTTCCTGTTCTGCAGTTTGTGGCCACTGTCTCTTGTCCTGTCCTTGGGCATCACTGAGAAGAGAACAGCTCCATTTTCTTTACTCCTGCCCATTATGTATTTACTTTGATAAGATACCCACTATGCCTTCTCTTCTAGAGACTAAACAATTCCAGCTCCCTCAGCCGTTCCTCATAGCTTTCACCACTTCGGAGAAATTCTCAAAAAAGATTAAAAAACGTAATCAGTCTTCCAACTGGCTTCAAAAAAGTTCTATTATCTCCAGGAATCTGAAGGTCTAAGTAGAAATTCTGTCAGGTTAGCAACCCATGCTGCAAAGATGCTTTGGAGCCTGATAATGAAGAAACAAATGGAAGTGATGATCTCTCACTTTCTGTGGCAAATCTGGAGTGCATTGGAGTTCCCATCCATGGAAACATTCAAGACCAGGTTGGATGGGGCTCTGAGCAGCTTGATCTAGTTAGCGGTGTCCCTGCTGACTGCTGGGGGGTTGGACTAGATGACCTCTAGGGGTCCCTTCCAAACCAAAACATTCTATGATTCTATGATCCAGCATGTCCTTGAGACCAGAAATGTCTGACTTGTGATTTTCTAAGAGGCAATAAAAATATCAGCAATGGCTCTCACAGGAAGACAATTAATTACCACAAATAATTTGAAGACTACTGATGAAGCTGAACCAGGGATGAGGCTTGGAAGGTTGCAGAATGTTCTGAGATATTAAGCAAAAAATCAACAATAACATCAAAGAGGGACAGTGAAGTAAAATGGTTTCTACAGACAAATATTTGAGACTAATAGAGAATAAGAGGACTCTGAAGTATTTTGTAGTTTGATGCTGTGCATTGGACAGAATGAGGCTTTGAGATGAGCACCAATGCAAGAAAAAATTTATTGGACGTAGTGTTTGTGTATCAATATAATCCCTTTTTCAACCTGCATATAGACGTGCTCTAAAATCAGAGCAAGTATCATTTGTTTTTAAAATTTCTTCCTGAAATATAGCCCATATACAGTTGTCCTTAAGTGCTTGTAATTCTTTGTAAATAATGAGCTTTATATAGCACACCCTGCAGCTCCTCTGATGCTGATCCAAAACACAAGAATTTAACACAAATTTAACTAACCACTAGAGATGTTTACTTTAGTATGCAAATACCTTGAAATTTTCTGCATCTGATGACTGACCATATAAAAAAATGCAAGCCTTTTTCTGTCTCCAGCATTTCTTTAATTGATACAACCGAACTTGCTTGTAAGTTCATGGTGGCATTTTGACTTGGTGTTTCCTACGTGATCTGTAACTTGACACTTGAACATACTACTACTTAGACTTCCCTATTGGCTGCAGATCCAATTAAATCCAAGATGATTATAAGGAGTTGCTCAACCTGGTCAATCTTTTGCTAAGGATTTCTAGGTTCATTATTTTTTTACATTGCCTGCTTATTCATCAGGTACAAAGGTTGAACAAAACCAAAGTGCTGTTGCACCATATTATTTCTTGTCACTGCACTGAAAAATCTACACATGTGTACATACGCTGCCTATGAGAAGCGACAGAAAGGTAAGACGTTTGGCACATCTTTTTTTTTTCAAAATGTAGGCGAAGATTAATTATCTTTGTTGCTAGACTGGAAACAAATACATCTTGAGATACATTAAAAGTTCAGGAATTACTACAAACCTTGGATATGCCAAGTTGTTAAGTAAATTGTACTTTAGTAGAAAACCAGGGAACAGTCCACTACTTCTCTGAAAAGCAGGCTACCTGATTATACAAACCCTATTACCTCCCCAAACCTGCCTTTTTCTTTAGAAATGCAAGAAAACCGATAGGCATTATATTACTATTAAACAATAAAATCTTGAAAAGTTCTCTGAGGAAAACTTCTTAAGAAAACGTTTCTAATTACAAGGAAATGTTAAGGTATTACCAGTGTATTGCCAGGCTCAGTTTTTTTCCAGAACAGTTGATTAAAACAGCAATTCTTGAAGTCTGGTTCTAGCAAAAAGCTAAACTGCAATTAAAATTCCAGATGCTTTCCTGTTCTTCCACTGATTGTATGGGTACACACACACAACGCAGGAAATCAAATTTGTAAAAACCCCCCTAACTTTTCAGTAGAAACTAAAATAAAAAAATAGGAACTACATTTTTGATTTAAGACATATGTAGGGTAAATTTTTTGTCAGAAAAGGAATTATTCAAGTTAATGGTATTGCCTTCATTCAGACATGTTAACTTTTTGCTTGAATTTCCGAAAAATTTTTAAATTAAGTTTCATTTTCAACTTGATTGTTATTGATTAACTTACAGACCAATTTTTAAAATAATATTTGAATTTCTTTTTCCCACTCTATTAAATACAGTATTTTTCTCGAAATCTGCAAGCTACAATAATGCTATTAACCTGTGTTTCTAGATTGCCTGCTTAAGGTCCGCTCTGTTTCTGAACATCTTGGAAGTGGTATCCTTAAGGTCCAAGTATGCCACAAGATACAACTGTTAACATAGTCTATATCGGGAGTCCTCAAACTGCATCATATTTTCCACTAGCAATATACTAACTGGCTCCAAGACGTATGCAGGCCACCAGTACTACCGCTGACAGGAACAATACCTAATACAGAACATAGTGGCTGCTGCTGCTAGTCACCCTTGTCCCTGCCACTGACAAAGTCTTAACAAAAACGCTGATGAACACTTTTTGTATTTAATGTAAATTTCCAACAGCAATAGAAATGCACAATGGATCAGAGCAGTATAAGTGGCATTTATCTTCTCTTTCTTCTAAGAAGTTAATAAGTTTCCAGGATGACTCAGGTGAATGAGGTCAGTCCTCAGACACACAAATGCAAAGAAGCAATCAATTAGACTTGACCAATTTGTTCTGTGACCTCACTTACTCCACACTGATCAGCAAAGGTCTCCTGGCACTCTTTCTAAGGATAGGTGGAGGTTTTTTTAAATCTGACTGGCTGCCTATATTTAGCATTGCTTGTGCAATTGAGCTTGTGCTTGTGCAATTGAGCTTTATTATGTAATTTCTCCCACTATTAAATTCAGTGAATACTCTCTACAACTCAAGATACAATAGGCACTTTAAACGAGTATCTTACAGTTTATCTTTTGGGTATCTTTAATCTGGAAGCTAGAGATCTGTGGAGGAGAGACTGAGGTTCACTTAGCCCACTATCTTTTCAGATGCTTAAGAAAAAGTGTAAAAATGAAGGGATAATCTACCTTTTACATAACATTTCAATTCACGCCTGGCATAAACAGGGACTGATAATGTAACACCTGACAGAGATGGTCTAACAGCCCTGCTCAAAATGAGTAGATCTTGCAAATAACACCTGATTCAAAGGGGGTAGATAAGTGACACTTTCTCTGAGAAAAGTTAATGTCACAGTGAATACCATTTGTCAGAAAAGCTTTCCTGACTCCCCAAAAATAAGGTTCAAATCTGTACAAAAACCCCAGCACAAGAGATTGAACCACTTAGTTCCAAAGATCAGAGCAACAACTATGCCTTCATAATACAGAGCTCCAGGTTTATGTTATATGATATATGCTATATTAGGAATAATAAAGAGATTAGAACATCAACCTACTAATTAAAA